CCCCCCCCCCCCCTTAGCAGCCACAGAGCTTGACCCCTCCCCAGCAGAGCCGTCTCTCCTCTGCCTTGCCCAAATCACACTGAATTTTCCAGCTCAGGGCCTGAGCCCCTCTGCCGTCCTTCTGGAGGCAAGGTATAAGGCAGAATTTTAAATCCTGGAGTGTTTTGTGTGAGCCACGTGAGCTTTGACCCCTTCGTTAAATGCGTAACACGTAGTTTTATATGCACCTGGCGTGTGGGCTTTGAGAAGCGCGGGGAAAAGTTGGGCTGTAGATCCCAGTGATGTTGTGACAAGCTGGCAGAAGCAGAGGTAACGTCTTGGGCTCCTCTCTTGTCTCAGCATCGCTTTCCGTGGGGTGTTCTGTGAGGTCAGATAAGAAGGGCAGGAAGGGTGTCTGCCAGGGGGTCCCCTATGGGAGCTGCTGCTTCCCCAGCTCGATGCTGCCTCTTGCTTCCAGGGGCTTAGGAAATGTGTATTCCTAATATATACGTACACACAAAATATATATATATGAAATATTCCTATAGCTCAGGAATATCCAGTTAGATCCACATGCTGTTTCCACCACAGGAATTTTTTTTTCTTTTAAGCAGTGATCATAAAGAAATAATGCTCCAAGTTTTTCCCAGTAATAGAACAGAGTCTACAACTGAGCCTAAACTGCAGCCGCTTTTTAGGCCAGCGAGTGAAAGCGCTGCTCATCAGCTGAGCTGGTGTCAGACATTGGCTTTATGGAAAAGCTCCTGGGGAAAAGTAACTTTGGGTTTTAAATACTTCATGTAAATAGAAATACTTTTTCTTTTTTTTTTTTTTTTTTTTTTTCCCCCTGATTTTGACTTGTATGATGCTAAATAGTGAAGCGCAAATTTAGGAAGAGTTTCATTCCTCAAATGACATGTTTCAGCCAGCATCATCAATTTTTTCCAATTTGTCAAATTGAAGCTTTGGAGAATGAGCTCAGTTTTGCGGAGAGATTCAGATTTCAATAAAACTGTGTATCTTGGCAGCACGGGATCTTACTGGCACTTCCCTGAGCAGGTTCATGTGCCAGTCCCGGGTCTGCCCGCCCGGCCATGTCCTACCCATTAACCCCACTTTAAACCCATTTAATCCCAAGGAGACTGAATTTTGGGAAAGCAAATTTTTTGTCAGCAAAAACCTCTCATAGTAACAGATTATTTAATTCCTTCTAGGGACATGGGTCACTTTTGGGGGTCAGATCTCAGACGAGGTAAGTGATGCTTGATGTAAGTATGATGCATGAATTAAAACCCAGTATGAGATATTTTTAAATGAAACCATGGCTACCGAAACCAGAGGAGCCTGTTTCTGTACGAGGAAATGGCAGAGAGTTACTACGCAAAGCAATACAAAGCTTCTGCTACCAAAAACCCTTAATGAATCTGACATTTCCAGAGATCAACTTTCATAAAAAACCCCATCTATCCCTTAAAGCGATCGGCTTTTCTGTGCTGTCTGGAGCAATATTTCCTCCTTACCAGCAGTAGTGGCACCACTCCTGGACCAGAAATTGGAAACTATTTTTGCGACACGTATGTAATCGGCAACGGTCATAAATTCAGGCAGGGGCTCAGCTTACAAGGAGCTGCCTGATGATTTATTTTTTTTTTTACATAATAAGATGAAAGAAATGAAAATGAGCCTGGGTTTCCTACGCACTCTTGCCTGTACCAGATGGTTCTTAATCTCGGTTAATAATCCTTCCGAGTGCTGGGCAGCACGTGGGCTTCCCTCCGCCGCAGGTACGCTGCAGATGCTAGTCATCAGGAGGAGAGCAGCCTCCCGGCCGCCTTCCCTCTGGTACGTGACAAAACCCCCAAAAATAACTTTGGCAGAAGGAAAACAGCCCAGGAGTCTGAACTCAAAGGGGTTTTTTTTGCTTTTTTAATTCCCTCGATCTTTGGTGGTATTTCTTGTGCTGATGGCGGGTCGCTGAGTGCGTTCCCGTTTCTCGCCGTCGCAGGCGGAAGCGAGATGACTTCTTTCAATTATAATTTTCCTCCCTGGCTCTCCTGCACTCCGTGTTTTGAATGAGTCAACGCAAAGTGTTCATGCATTGAAAAAAAAGGTCGGAAACATGGCCCTGTCCTAAGATGTTAGACATGCGTGGGTGCCCTGGCCAGGCGCCCACCCCTCTGGGTGCAGAATCCCCCCCCAGGGAGCAGGGGGGCTCCTGGGACTCTGATGGGGGTCACGTAAATGACCTTCAGCAGTTTAAATACTCCGTGAAGTTGTCTGGAGAACTGCAGGACAGCCTGTCAGGTAGCCAGAAAAGAATTAAACTTTTGCCATGGACGCATCCTTTCTGTATGAAACTCCACAGATTTGCAGAGTGTCTTCTATAACCCTTTCAAATTCTTGGCCACTTTCTTATTAGAAAGTTCCTGTGGGAGGAGATTAATTCTTCCCAGGATGAGTCAAGGGAAAGTTGACGTTAATCTGTGGTCTGGTGCTATTAGGACCAGCCCATGGACCCCCAGGTGCCCAGGAAGGGTCTCTCCCCCCGGGCAGGGGATGCTACGACCCCTCCCAGCCCCGCACCTTCAGGGGTTTGTCCCCACGTGGGACGAGCGCTCAGGATGAGGTCTGCCACCCCTCACCTCTCTGTCTCTGCTTCCCCGAGGTGGCCGAGCAGCTGATGACCATCGCCTACGAGAGCGGCGTCAACCTCTTCGACACGGCCGAGGTGTACGCGGCCGGCAAGTGAGTGCCCAGCGTCCTGCTCCGCTTCCCTGGGACCCCTCCGCCTGGCTCTGCCCCCCTGTGTCATGGTCACTCGGGATGGATGGGCTCTGGCTCTGGGGATGCTTGGGAAGCCCCCTCGTCCCCCTCAAAGGGGACAGAAAAACCTTTATATTTGGAGCACTCTTAAAACAAACAAACACCCCCAAAACCCCCAAACCAACACACAAAAAAAAAAATCAAAACCTTGTTGTACCCAGCTGAAGATTGAAATGTATAGCTCTGCTGTTAGCACAGGGAGAAAAATGTCTTGAATAAATGAAGTCAGTGAGCGTTTTAATGGTGATGAATGGCCTGTGCCGTGACAGCTCCCAGGCACGGGTCCCGGCACGGGGAGCCGCTCTGGCTGCAGGAGAGCTGATGCTCTTACTGTCACTGCGGAACTGGGGGAGCAAAAATATCCAGCCGTGATATATTTGACTTTGGCTGATTTATATGGCTTTGCATTCAGCATGAAAGCTGGACTGGGACATCACGTCCCTGGTTGGGGACAGAGCGGCTCTGCCTTCCCGGAGCAGGTTCAAGCAGACGTAAGGCACCGGGGCGGGGGTCTGTCCCCACGGGACGAGGTGCTTTGTACCGATGGAGGGGACTGTCCCCTGTGACAGGGCTGTCTGCCCGCCCCGTCCCAGCCGGTGCCGGGTCACTGTCACCCGGGGAGGGGAGAGGGTGCTGGAGGCTGGGCTTTGGGGAGCTGTGACGGTGTACCTGGCGCTGAGCATCCTCCTGTCTCCCCTCACGCGGGGCTCTCTCTTGCGCAGGGCTGAGGTGATCCTGGGGAACATCCTGAAGAAGAAGGGCTGGAGGTACTGTACCACCGGACAACACTCCCTGCCACCCACAAGTCACTGGGACCCATGACCAGATGAGAATCCTGATTTTTTTTTTTTTTTTTAAATAACACGTGTCAGGTGATGCTGGCCTGGGTGGGGAAGGCTGCAGTTTCCAGGCAGTCAGGCACGGAGCAGCCAGATCTTTCAGGCACCAAATAAAAATGTTCCCCTGTTTTTTTTGGGGAGTGCATGGCAGCTTCACGAGGCTGTGGTGCTGCCTCGGCTGCTGCATGAGGCAGTTGTCCCTGCGCAGGGCACGGCCGGCACAACTCCTGAGCTCATCCATCATCGCCGCCACGCGCGGTGTGTCGAGGCGGGCGGTCTCTGTGCCGTGTCCTTCTCCGTGTACGTAAAACTGTGTGTTAAGAATGCAAAGCTGTGATGGGCCTTCATCTTGGGTAGCCTGGTAGGAGATGATCCCTAATTTAAACGATGCACATTAGCATATGTTGTGTGGCTTTAAGAGCATTTACATAACCGTTAAAGACCTCCCATGTGTGTCATATTCAGCCTTCAACTGAAGGATGGGTTCTAGCAGTGTTGTCTCCAAAACCAGTGTCCCCTGTGTTAGGGGGACGTTTATCCAGTAAGAAATATTCTGGATGCTGTAGGAGAAAACGAACTGAGTCCAGCAAAAGCTGGAGAAATCGCGTGTTGTACAGTTATGCAGCAAGGTAGTTTGCGGATGATAAATCTTTGATTTAATATCCCGTGGGAATTTATAAGCGCAGCGATTGTATCCCTCCTGGAGTTTTAATAACTCTGGGAATACTGCATGAAAATGAGCCGCACTGGATTTGGGTACTGGGAGGGAATAGCACTGCGGTTCTTGGTTAAGGGCTCTGGAGGTTGCTTACTCCATAACTAAAACTGCATCTTTTTTTTTTTTTTTTTTTCTTTCGATCGCTTCACTTGAATTAGCTTTGTTTTCTGAACACCAACCTATGGTCACCCTCTGCCTGCAGCTGATCCGAGCTTGGGGGGAGATGTGGCTGCTTGTAAAAAGGATTATAGTGACGTACAAACACTTGGAGTCCAGGGCTGTGAACCAGGCAGTGCTGCCGCTGCGGGAGCCGGAGTCCTGCTGCTTGTCTGTGGGCAGCACTCTGCTTGGTTACTTCTATTATTTATTTTTTTTTAACAACAGTAATTTTTCTGTTCTGTTTGCAGGAGGTCCAGTCTGGTCATAACAACAAAACTGTACTGGGGTGGAAAGTAAGTCTCTCAGTTACTCGTGAGGGTGTTTGCTGCTGCGTGCTTTCCCTTTCCCAGCCATACAACCAGGTGGAGATCAATGGCACCTTGAAGGGAGGGGGGGGGGGGTGTGTTGCTGTTGTTTTCTTTTTCCTCCTTTTGCCAAGTCTTTGAAGGAGTCAGAGCTTGGCAGAGGCGCAGCCGCCCGCAGAGGCCGGGTGCTGTGCTGGGTGCGCTCCCACCCCGAGCATCATCGCTGCAGCTCTGGGGGGTGGCACCCGCAGGGCAGCGGCTGCCTCGCTCCCACAGGGCCCCGCCGCCCTGGCAGCATCCTCACCCCTGCGTGGGAACGCCGGGAGGGAGCCTCATGGCCAGGCAGAATCTGTAGCAGGGCTGCGATCACGTTAAACTGTTAAAGCCAGTGGTACTGCTCACCCCAGGTGCTGTTGTCTTTGAGACTTTGAGTCCAGATGAGATTCACAGTCTCTCTGTCACAGGATCCCAGAATCATCCGGGTTGGAAAAGCCCTTGCAGCTCCTCCAGCCCAGCCATGACCCTCCCCCTGACCCCCCCAACTCCCCCAGACCCCTCAGCGCTGGCTCAGCCCGACTCTTCAACCCCTCCAGGGATCCCGGGGACTCCCCCCTGCCCTGGGCAGCCCATTCCAACGCCCAACAGCCCCTTCTGCACAGAAATCCTTCCTCAGAGCCAGCCTGACCCTGCCCTGGCGCAATGGAGCTTCAGTCTGGGGGTGTTTAAACCAGAATACAAAATCAGCTCTCCCCAGTCGTTAGCACCTCAGGTCTCTAACACCCGTGTCCCTGCTTTGCCTTTGCAGAGCCGAAACGGAAAGAGGGCTCTCGAGAAAACACATCATTGAAGGTACGTGTTGCACGGGGCAGGGGTCGGTGGGATGCAACCAGCCGGACCCCTGGGGCGATTGCTCCCTCACGAGCCAGGTCTGCTTGACCCCCAGCCAAAGGATTTTTCTGTTTTCTCTCAAAAAAGCCTGCGCGGAGGCGTTGCGCGCACAAAGCCTTCCCCCCCCCACCTCTGTGCAGCCATAACCTTTGGGGCTTTGCTGTGATAAGCAGGCGTGCTGTCCGGGGCCGGCCGCGTGTGCGGGTGTCTCACGTCTCTGCAGCGATCGGGGGGGTTCCATCCCTCGCTGTCCCCAGCAGCTTTGCGCCGTTGCCCCTCGATCCCGCCTGCCATGAGATAGGGAGGTTTGGGGGGGCAGGAGCTGCTCTGCTGCCACCCCAGCTCTTTCCCGGAGGCCGCGGCCGCATGGGCTCCCTCGGAGCAGGGAGGGGTGAGGGCACGGGCCACGGCGTCAGCTGGCAGAAACAGCCCCTGGAGGGGCCTTGCCCACCCCCGGCCGGGGAGGCTCTGGGTTGCTCCTGGTGCTGTTTCCTCTCAGGCGCTCAATTTTGTCGTACGTTCGCTTGCCTGGCTCCTCACATCCAGTCCTGCATCCCACTGAGGGATGCCGTGCTCGGCCTTGCCCGCCCCCGGGGATTTATTCACCCAGGTGTCTGCTGGGTCCAACACGAGCTCCTCATTTTCCTTCTGATTTGCTTTTTTTTTTTCTTCTCTCGGATACGTTATTGTTGGGGAGGGAGTGAGAGCACATTTTTCTACACAGATAAACGTGTTTCACCCGATCTGGCTCTTTCCAGAGGGCTGTTGGGTGTCGGGTCAGGCACCCTGGTCATAATTATATGCGTGTATATATATCTCTATGCACCATGGGCGTAATTATAACTTGCAGAGAATTTTAACACGCAGGACACAAATTAAGCAATGCCCCTACAAAGACACATTTCTGCCGTATTAAGGAGGACCAGGACCTTGTCCCAGTGAGAGCTGCCAGCCTGGGCTGGCTCCGGACAGGGGCTGGGGCACACCCCAAGACACCCCCAGGATGACCATGGGGCTGACACCCCCCAGCCTGTGCAGACCCAACAGAACAGGGGCCTGGGTCTGTTTTTATTTTTTACATAAATCCTGAGTAAAAATAGCACGGCTTTGGGGAAAGGCTGCGTAAAGCCATGGAAGGGAGGTAGTGGGGTGTCCCTCGGGGCCCGGGAAGCCTTTGGGCAGAGCATCAGGCTGGGTACCTGCGCTTCAGCCCTCCGCAGCGGGGTTCGCGCCGCCCGCCCCTTGTTGCTGTTTGACCCGCTCCTGCCCGCTGCCCTGCGGGGATGCGCAAAACGGAATGGTGTGATCTCTGCAGGGGCTTTGGGGGAGCCGGGGCAGGGGCTGCGCTCCCTGTGAGCGATGCCAGCCCGGCTGAGCCCCCAGGGGAGCAGCCCCCTCCAGAAACCAACGAGCCACCGTGGCTCCAGCCGCGGAGAGGGGTTCTCCTTATCGCGCTGCGTGTGCTGGGGGGATTAGCCTCCTTTTTTTCATCTGTGAGATAAGCCCTAATTGCTTACTGTGGTGGCTGGTTAAGCTGTTTGCTGCCAAGACAAATTAGAAAAGAAAAATTCAGGCTCGTCTACATACTCGTGTGCCGTGGTGTCGGTGGTTTGATGACACGGGGGGGGGGACCAGCCTGTTACCATTCGCAGCACAGGGTAGGGGGAGGTATGCTCTGGTCTTTGCCTATCAGAAGGTCACATCCACCTGCAGAAAATCAGGGGGTTTTGCCCCAAATGGCAGCTTTAACTTGCATTTGGCCATTTGCATGTTTCACCACCGGAATCTGCAATGGCCCATTTGTCACAAATTTCAACCACCGGCATTTGTTTTTTGTATACGTTAAAATGTAGATTATATGGGAAATATTATGATTATATTTATATTATCCACCCCTCAGCCGGGATGTCACTGCCACCCGGGTTAATACAGCCACGACACCCCAGCGCAGTTGGTTTTGCCTCAGAGTAACCAACTTCTACATCTGGGATTGTCCTGGAAGGTTCCCATTATTTAGAATTTGTAGAATTCTGCTACATTAGGATATGACTTCCATATGAAGGCGATGCTGGAGAAAGCTTTTCAGCAACGTTTTATTGAAATGTCACTCGCATACCCCCCCCCCACCCGCGGTGCTCGGGGAGCCGCAGCCGTGTCGCAGGCCGTCCAAACCCACCCCTTTTCCATTTCTTCTGCAGCTACTTCATGAAGTGATAGAAAAATACTGGCAGCAGTTGAAATAACTTCACAGAACACACAGCGAATAATGTTGAGGTCAACGTTAGCTATTTTCTATAAATACATTTGGCAAAAATGGCCATTTTTTTTTCCCCCTCTCAAAACTCAGCGAACATTTTCAGACTGCTCTATTTTGGCTGATTCTTCATGAACATTCATAAATACATTTTGTTCCTGGGAAGATTCATAGAAAATAAGTGTTAGAAACCCTCTTCTCTCTCTCATGCACACACACACACACACACACATATATATATTTGTAGGCTTTTGATGCCCTCTCCCCCCAGATCCTCAGAGAAGCTTTTGAAGCCTGGGCAGTCCTGGACTTGTGTCTAGTCTTGCTCTACAAAACTCCCTGCCCCGTGCAGAGGTTGGCACAGGGAGGGCACAGCCTGCTCGCCCTGCTGGGAGGGCAAAGCCCTCCGTGGTGCTTTACCTGCTCATCGTAACATACCAAACCGAGTGCCACCCCCCTTGCGTTTCTGGGGCAGGGCTTCCTTAGGTGGGACAGGACCGAGGAGACGTGTCCCGGGCTTGCCCGGGAAGGCTCTGGGATATAATTTAAATTAACTCTGAACAGAAGTGGAGTGCTGAATTCGGTCTCTGGCAGCTGCCTCTTGACAGGCTGGTCATGGGCGTGCTCGGTAGCCGGTGTCTGTTCCAATCCAAATCTCAGCGCAATTAAATAAAACAAATTCTCATGGAATCGGGGGACTCTGCACGTGGCCTGGCTGGTGTTTTCTTCTTACTGTGGCTGCGTAGATACAGGACATTATGCAGGATCCTTCTCATATGCTGTATGGCTGTGTGTACATACACAAAATATATATATGTGCATATAAATACAACTGGCTCTATTCTAGTCCTAGCGCAGCGCTGGTTTTGTACCTGTCGGCTCTCCCGCCTCGCTCTGACCGTGCAGGTTTTGTCTCTGCTTTGCTGTTCCCAGGGCTCAAGGCTTCTCTCCAGAGGCTGCAGCTGGAGTACGTGGACGTCGTCTTCGCCAACCGGCCAGACAACAATACCCCCATGGAAGGTGAGTGGCAGCTTGAATTAAAGGGTTTAACGTGGCTGATCCCGGCTTACGGGCTTAGGCTGATGATGGCAGGAAATGAAAAACAATTTTTTATTAAATATTCAGGTGGGGCAGCTTAAATATGAAATACCTAACTTGTGAAGTCCTGGAGCCCTCTGTATTTACAGTTCAGTGAAATGAATTTGTATCTCTTGGAAGGAAATTGAAGTTTCCTTTATGTCCCAGTGGTGGCTTTAACATTGGGTTTTTATTTCCTTTTCCTGATTCCTTCAGAGAAAGTGAATTTGTGTTTGCATTTAATGCAGGTCGTCTTTGGGTCAAATAAACCTGTCTTTCCCTACCCCTGGTGTAGTCAGCTCTAGAGAGGGGGGGGTGTCCCATCTTGTCCCCATCCTTGTCCCCATTCCCTGGGCTGCCCAGAGAGCGTGTCCTGCTCCCAGCGCTAAAACCAGGGCGGTGATCCAATGCATGGTCAGAACCAAGGACCAGTCGTTACGCTTTTGGGTTCTCTGCCCCAAGGGCATGAGCAGCACAAGATGAGTCTCTGGTGGGCTCAGCCGAGGGGTCGTGGGAGGATGCCGACCCCCCGGGGGCACGGCGGGGTCCCCCCGGCACCCAGAGCAGCGATGCTCTGCCCAGGGCTGGGCTCAGCCTCAGCACCGCAGCCACCCACCCCTCGGTCCTGGCAGGGAACGGTCCTCAATAAATTCCCACTCCTGAAATTCATTCCCTGAATTTAAAACTTGCAAGATCTGCCACTATCTCTGCACTCTAATTACGTTTATATTTGCTGGTAACCACATGTGTGCGTTTGGTACGTGGCTGCATAACCCAGTTATCCAGGAGCCTCCCATCAGTATGTTCAGGGGTTAGTGCCCTATTTCATGGGCGCCAGTTCCCATTCCTTCATTCCTTCTCTTTTCCCCTCGGAGTTAACACAACCATTCACACTGTGGCAGAAGATTAGCTTCACAGCTAAATAAAAAATAGCAAGAAGAAAGACTTGCAGGCTGCAGAAGCTGTCATAGATGAGTACATGTACATCAAACAAACCTGGAGCTTGACAGGCCCCTCCGAAGCTCCCGCCTTGACTTTCGGGGCTCGTGACACCTATTTCCTTCAGGAGCGTGGGGCTGAGACCTGGGCCAAGCCTTGGATGGACGGTGGTGCTGCTGCCCCGGCCAGCCAGTGCCAACAGCTACGGGCTCAGGGAACTGGCCTGGGGTTTTAGGACCAGTGCGGATTTTGCAGTAGCTGATGAGGTCGAGGAAGATGAGATGTATCTCGGAGGGAGAAATGACCTCTCTGCTCAGTCAGTTGTCATCTAATGAAGCAGTGCTGAATATATTTCCCACAGCGGATCTCGGGCGTTTGCAGCTTTTAAGATGCTGCAGATACTGTTAGCAGCACCGGGGCTTGGCAGTAAGGTACCACCCGTGGTGCTTGGTGAGATTTTTTTTTTTGAGCAGGGTGAAAAAAGGGACGTTTTTTATTATGAATGGTGCGGTGTTGATTCTTTCTATGTACTTCATGCTTTTTTTATGGTTCACCTACTAAGCCACTTCTATCCCAGAGCATCTGCTGAACCATCTGTCAGTTCTGCACTATCTGGCATGCACAATAAGCGCTGAGCTACCTCCACAAGACACACGATCCCCGCTCCATCTCCTTACGGGCCCGTGCTCTTCCCATGAGCAAACGGTCGCTTCTGCTACTCCTGCCAAGGTGCGAGGGTCCTGCTCGAGCGAGTGGTGTGGTTGGGTGTGGTAAGGTGCAGCCAAATGGAGGATAAACTTGGGACATGCATTTTGTTCTCTTCGCTCGCTGTGTGCAGGCAGGTGTGGGGTTTCTCTGCTGTCACTTGGGGTCTCCTGTGATGTCTCTGGGTGTCAGCAGGTGATGGATCAGCCATTAGAAATACTCGTCTGGTCCAGCCCAGCCAGAGCAGGAACGTGTCCCAGTCCCCCCGGCCCAGGCTCCTTGGGAAGCGTGGGTAACAGAGCTGATAAGCGAGGATGAGCGTTTAATGTGGATTTCTGTATTGCAGGTGCCTCTGGTCCCCACGGTAGCAGGCAAAGCTTGCTTAATCTGAAATCAGAAATGTATTTACCTTTCTTAAAAGTCTCAGACCAAATATAAAAAGCTTTTCATCACGAAAGCAATGCAATATTGGCTTCAAGAAGCACCTGGAGATGAGTATCCTGTGGGAAGCTCTTTGCATCACCCTGTGGCCAGGTCCCTGGCCAGGACAGCTGTGTCCCTCCTCGCCCCAGGGCTGGTCTCCGCTCTGCTGTCACGGGGTCCCCCCGCACGGGGACCTCGGGAGACGGGTGGTGGGAAGGATCCGTGCTTCTCTCCTGAATTTCTGTGCGTTTCATACCTCCTTACTCAGGCTGGAGATCTGATCCCCCAGCTGTGCTAGCAGATGTTTGTTTTCATCCCGAGTGGCTTTTCCAGCAGAGGAGCAGGGCAGCCCCGGTGGGTCCCCCCTGTTGTCACGGTGTTGGGGGACCGGGCACGCACTCTATGGCCAGTCCCCAGCCCTGGCAAGCAGGGAGAGAAGGTGACATAGTTCCCAACAGGGAACTTTAAGCTACTTCAGAATTATTATTAGGCTGCTGGAGGCTGTTTTCTGGGTTTTGAAGCATTAAAAAAAAAATAAAAATCTTCCCTTCTTAAGTGATGCCATTTGTGCCATCCAGCTGGCAGCCCGAGGGATGCAGGCATGTGCTCTTCACAAACCATCCCATCACCATGCCCATGGGAGCAGTCGCTGGTAAACAAGAAGAGATAGATAGATATAGATATATATTCAGAGTTGACTTCAGTTTTTCTTGAAAGGAGTAGAGGTGGAAGCAATGAAAACAACCATGGACTGAAATGTGTAAGAGGCGTATGATGAAACGCTTATCAAAATTCCTAAATGGTAGTGTGGCAAAAATAGAAAACTAAACCCAGTGAGAAGCTGGCGCTGGCGAGGGGGGAGGGAGGGGTTGCTGTGCAGCTGCCCGTCGCACACAGCACGCCTGCGGGTAGCAGGGTAGCTGCTCGATAACAGGGCATTTTGTTTTGCTTGAGGGGGAAAAAAAAACAGAAAAAAAAATGCTTAGAAATAAAAGTGTGACTTTGGCCAAAATAAAGAAGGAAAAAAAAGAATACAATTGAACTCTACTCTTCGTTGGGGTGAAAACTCCTCAAGCCAACGTTTCCCTCGAGAGGAAATCTCCCTTTCCAGTGGGAGGGCAGAAGCCTGGTACAAGAGGCACCGTGTCTCTTGTGCAGCCCTCCGAGGTTATAAATGGAGCCTTCATCATCCTTAGCTGCTTGTCGCTGCCTGCAGAAGAAATCTCACAATAACGTCAAGATTGGCAGTGTAATCTCCCCTCTGCCAAGCTCCTTTTTTTTTTTTTTTTTTTTTTTTTTTTTTTTTTTTTTTTTTTTTTTTTTTTTTTTCTTTCCATAAATAGGCCGAGACTCCTCGTGGTATAAAAGGCACCTCATCTCGCTCCTGAGGCAGCGATGCCCGGAGTCGCTGCCCGAGTCGCAGCGGGCACTGCGAGGGGTGGAGCAGGCGGGCCGGGCTCTGCAGCCCCCCCGAACCCCTTCACCCCCATCTGCTGGGCCAGAAGCTCCCGGGCTCGGCGCAGCGCAGCGGTTCCTTGCCGCTGTCTCGAGGGAAGAGCGCACCGAGGTGTGGCAGTGCCCGGCGACCCCGGGGTGCCTTGGGCGGCTCTGGGAGTGGTGACTAACTGCTGTGCTCTTTTGCCACTCTGAGTTTAGCCCATTTTTGTCCATTTAAATGATTAGCGTTAATTAACTGCTAGTGGCCAGTGTGGTGCCAGTGCCCTGGCAGTCGCTGCTCGGCTCCAAAGGGCAGGGAGTGCCAGAGCTCAGTAAGAAACAGGAGTTTGACTGCACCCAGGGCAGTCAGTTATGCTCTCGTGGTCGCTGTGTCCCGGGGGCTGCAGACCCTGCCGGTCCCAGACTGTCCTGCCCTGGGGACTCTGCTCAGTCCTGGGCCCCCGTCCATCCCTGGCTCCTCCGCAGCAAGGATGCCACAGGCGCTGCCTGGGCGCCCCGGGATGCCACCACATACCCAGCAGGCTGCTCCCAGGGAGAAACCAGGCTTAAAAATGAGTTACAAACAGCAAACGGGGGCTATTTTCTTTACAGCATTAGCGAGACATCCTGCCAGCTCTGTAACCTCCTGGGCAACCATCAGGGATAACCAATTTTTTCTCCTTTTCTTCCAAACTGAATTTTATGCTGTGGTTTTTGGTGGGTGGTTGTTTGTTTGTTTTTTTTTTTCCCTCCCAGAAGAAGGCAGGGTGCTCAGCAGAGGTCTGATGGATGGAAATTAAAGATTGTGTCCTGACACGCGTAGCTGCACAGGCTTTCTTCTTCCCAAAGAATAACAAGGACCGTGGGCCGGCTGCACCGAAGAGCCGTGCCGAGGTGTTGCCCGCTCCTTGCGCAGGCGATGGGGCCCTCGGTGGAGCGGGTTCAATCACCCAGTTCTGTAACTTTATCCCCAGCATCCTCATATTCCTAGTAAAAAGAAACGGGGCCAGATATACGCTTTTAGTAAACAAATTTTTTTAAAAAAACCCTTAATTTATCTTCTAGTTTATTTTTCGACTGTGCTGCCCTCTTGTGTCAAAATTGGAAAGAAATATTACCGTAAGGCGGTGGTAGGCAATAGCCAGTTGGTAAAAGCAGTTTTTAAAACAACTGAAGGATAAATGTCTTTACGTTTGCACTGATAATGCTTTTTCACGCGTGCTTGAGCGAGAGAACACAGCAGAGGTGGTGTTTAATGCAACGCTGCTCAGGCTCGGCACACTCGGCATTCGTAAGTGGCTTTGGGGGGATTTGGCGCTGAGAAATTGGCCTCTGTGCACTTCTCATACTTTTCTTTGGTTTTTTTTTTCCCCCCCTCTCCTTTAGAAATTGTCCGAGCGATGACACACGTAATAAATCAAGGCATGGCGATGTACTGGGGAACGTCGCGCTGGAGCGCCATGGAGATCATGGTAAAGTCCATTTTGAGGGAAGTGTTGACACTTGGTAATTCTCCGTCCCGGCTGCGGATGAAAGCCGTGCTGCGAGCTGAGCCACCAGTGTCTGGGCTGGGCATCTGTGCGTTTTACTCCTTTTCCCCTAAAATAATTTAAAACCCCATTCCAGAATGAGCCCGGTGTTAATTAGGAGAAGATGGGCTGATCTGCTGGTTTGGGTGTCTTGGCTCGTTTACCTGGGGTTAGTTTCATTTTGGTTTTATTTGGCTGACTTTTGGCAAAGCCCTGAAGCCACTCGGGGCTGGGGGAGGCAGAAGGCGGGCACGTGGCCTTGTGAAGGGACGGTGAAACTTGAGTTTGTCACCTCCTGGGCACTCAGGGAGCGCTGGCTGGTAGGTTATGTCCTGCAAGATGCTTTTACTTAATGAAGTGTTTTATCTGCTGATTTCTTTTCTCCAGGAAGCCTACTCCGTAGCCAGGCAGTTTAACATGATACCGCCCGTGTGTGAGCAAGCTGAATACCATCTCTTCCAGAGAGAGAAAGTGGAGGTTCAGCTGCCAGAATTATATCACAAAATCGGTGAGTCTGAGGCTGCTGTGCCTTTTGGCTATTTCATTTGCAGGAAGAAATACAGAGCAGGCTGACCTGGGGCTCGAGATGGGAACACCCTGGGTCGGAAGGGGACGGACAAGTCTCCAATGACCTAAAAGAAAGCCCGTTTTACTGTGACTCTGATAGAAATAAATGTTAATTGCCACGGCTGCTTCTTACTCTGAGCCTCACGTGGCCCGTGCGGGTGCCACCTCTCCCCCGCGTCAGAGGATGCTGATGCCTCCTTGTGCACCTCCTGGGGCCGTGTCCGGAGCAGCAGGGCTGGGGACCAGGCTGAGAGGGGCCGGGTGGGAGCTGGTGCCCCTGCCAAGCTGGGCCAAGGCAGGGAGGACGCGGTGGGGTAAGGCAGGGAGGATGCTGGAGGTACCTGGTCAGGAGTTCAGGCGCTTTGCTGCAGTGGGAGCAAGAAGGTTTTAGTCGGGCCAGTTGGTCTTAGGGGCATCAGCAGCATTTTCCTGGAAAACCCCGACGGAATGGCACTGCCAGCAGCAATAGAAACAAGCAGCAACGCTTTTCTTTTTTTAAAAAAACCTAAAACCCCTATTTTTGATACAACTCTGATTTCTCCCAGTCCCCTAAGATCTCCGTCTCTGTTTTCTCTGCAGGGGTCGGAGCGATGACGTGGTCTCCTCTAGCCTGTGGGATCATCTCAGGGAAATATGGCAACGGGGTCCCTGAAAGCTCAAGGGCTGCACTAAAGGTATTATTTTGTTGCCTGTTTTAAGAGAAGTAGATGTGCTGCTTTATGTGAGGGCAGGAAAATAACAAAAGGGAAGCAGATCCCTCATGAGAAGGCTGGCCTGTGTGCTGCTGTATTGATAGATCAGCTCGGTTTCTCTGGCAACCAGACTCCAAAGTGCAGGAGAATCTGGGTTATAAAGATGCTCAGGTTGCCCACTGCAGCGGGGCGGGGGCTGCGGGCTGGCTCTGGGGGCTGCCACCACCCTTACGCTGGTCAGACCCCGTCACTGAGAGGGCACAAGCCCAGGGTCTCCTTATGCTCCCGGCTGACGTTTAGCAACGCAGCTACTGTGACTTCAAACCCTCTTAACCACGTGGAGCGGGGAAAATAGACTCAAACGTTATTTTTCTGCCCACCCTTCCCTGGGACCAGCCTAGCGGGCAGTGAGTGGGTGGGGGTGAGTCGGGGAGCCCCCGGGCAGGGCAGGCCCCAGCACCCCAGGAAACTCTCTAACGTGTTTTAGCGTTACGGCGTCACCACAGCTCTTGGTTTCTGCCACGATTATCCTGATTTTTATTCTGAGTGGGGGTCATGAGGTCTCCTTTCATATCACGCCTGTGGCAGGTGTATTATTTAATGGTTTGAAAAATGGCAGAGCACTAAAATACCACAGATTTGGGAAAAACTCCAACTGAAATGGTATTTGAGCCTCTGTATCAGCTGATGGGCACAAGCCAACGCTGCCTGACGAGTGCCAGCAGACTGACGTGCGTTCCTGTGTTGGTTTTTGCTCAGCTTGGTGCTTTTTAAAGGAAAGACGCAGGCTACACTGACTTGCTTACAAAGGGCAGCGCTTTCAAATGTGGTCTTTCATCGCATTTCTGGGTTTTTTCCGCCAAAATAAAACGTATTAGTAATATCTGGTAAATGCTAGCTAAGCAGGTAGCATTGCAGAGAGGGATACAAATTCAATTGAGAGTGAAGCAGAATCAAGTTTCAAATCTGGAGCTGGGCGAACCGAAATCTCAGCTTCACTTAATTAATTTTCTAACCTTGGATGGTAAATCTTGAATAAGATTAGATGTTCTCTCAATTTTTATTTTTTTATTTTTTGGGGGGGATCGGGCTGTGTCAAAATCTTCTTACGTTGACTAATATTTCACTTTTTTCCACTCTGTGATGGGATCCCATGGTCCAAAAATGAAATTGAGGAGGTTCCAGGTTCTGGACTGAGCTCATCAGTTGTATAAAGCCAGAGGGATACAGGCACAGGCTCCCACAGGAGTTGTCCTGGTCAGGTAGTCAAGTGTTGTGTTATTCAGAGTCCGCTACCTCCTGGGTTGGAAATGGCTATTTATGAGCTGGTTATAATCGCCTTAAACCTTCCATTTTGGAAGATTAAACCTAACAGCCGATTGAAATGTGATTTATCTCCAGTGCTACCAGTGGCTGAAAGAGAAAATCGTGAGCGAGGAGGGCAGAAAGCAGCAGGGGAAGCTGAAGGACCTGTCGCCCATCGCCGAGCGCCTGGGCTGCACGCTGCCGCAGCTGGCCGTCGGTAGGTGACGGGGACCAGTGCCCCCGCGCATCCCCCTCCCTGCTGCCACACACACAGGACCCAGGCGGCCACGGGCAGCGCTCTGAGGTGCCGAGAGAAAGTTTGTGCCTTAGGGGTTGTTGGGAGCTGGGTGCGGGTGAATCTTGCACCAACCCCTCAAGCTCCAGGTACTCCTGTGATCTGCTGAAGTGTCGGTGATGGTTCGGTGAATGTAACACAGAAAAGATGGGTCAGCGTTCAAATAGTTCAAAGGATGGCTTTGCCTTTGTGGTATCTATTTATTATTGAAAAGCATTTAAATGATTATTCCCTACTAGGAGTTACGGAACAAAAAGCCAGAAACGGGGAAAGGCTGACGATGGGCAGTGCAACGCTTTGTTAGGAGGCGGCTGATGCATTTCAAGGAAGACAGTAAAAGAACAAATCAAAACATGCTGTAGGATAATAAATCTAATGAGGAGCCAGGGAAGGAGCTGGGAGTGTTCAGTGTGAGGAGGAGGAGGCTGAGGGGAGCCCTCATCCCTCTCTGCAGCTCCTGACAGGACATTGCAGAGAGGCCGGGGCTGGGCTCTGCTCCCAGGGGATCAGGGACAGGACAAGAGGGAACGGCTGGAAACTGCCCCAGGGGAGGGTCAGGCTGGGCAGGAGGAGAAAATGTTTCCCAGCAAGAGTGGTCCGAGAGTGGAACAGGCTGCCCAGGGAGGGGGGAGTCCCCATCCCTGGGGGGGTTCAGGGCCGTTGGGATGAGCTGGGGGGGATGTGGGGTAGGGGAGAACTTTGCAGAGTCGGGCTGAGGGTTGGACTCGATGATCCCGAGGGGCTTTTCCAGCCTGAATGGTTCTGCGATATTACAATGCCATGTATTGCTTTTGAGGTTGACCCCAGCCTGTTAGCCTGACGCAAATGTAACTGTGTTTTGGGGCAGTAAAATTTAAAATGACTTAAAATAAGATTGTTTCCAGCATCCTCCTCAGGCTTCAGTTGACAAAAGGGGCGGTGCATCGTGGGCCGTCCTCGGGCGCCCACCCCTGACCGGCCTGTTTCTCTGAACAGACTCTCCCCAGGTGGAAGGCATCAGCTGTGCAGTGAGCTGGGCTGGCAGACACAAGAGAATACACTTCTTAAAAAGCAAGGCGGGTTGTTTGTTTGTCTGAAATAATTATCTTTGTGCTGCTGAGAGCCAAGGCTGAAAAATACCACACGTATCTGTTGGGAAAAGGATCCCTGGTTTAAACAGCCAAGAGGTGAACTCTTGTCATTCGTGATAGGGAAAAACGAAACCCCAAAATTAAGACAACTGCTGGGCCAGGGACCAGGGTCCGGTGGGATGGTGGAAGATCTGCTGTGTGGTTTATCTGAGCCGTGCATCATCTTCCTGGTAGTGCCAGAGGAGTAAAGCGAAGGTTCAGACAAACGTCAGGAGCTGGAGTAATGCCGTGTCACGAAATCCATGTTCCTGACCATCTTGTGACTTTATTCCTAGCATGGTGCCTGAGAAACGAGGGGGTGAGCTCCGTCCTCCTAGGATCTTCCAACCCCGAGCAGCTGATAGAGAACCTCGGAGCCATCCAGGCAAGTGCAGGTGGTGGTGGCACCTCGGCAGAGGTGGGGGTCAGCTACTGCTCAGCTCCCTGCGGGGGTTACACCAGCACACCTTGAGACTAGCACTCTCCTTCTCTGAATACAGTTTTAATACTTAGGTGTTTTGTTTCAGGCATCTTCCAGTTCTAGTTAGGCACATTAATTAGGCAAAGCTACGGTGTATCACCAGGACTTACACCGTGTGAGGTAGTTACAGCCACATCCAGTAACGAGAGGGTGGCACCAGCAGGTTTAACGGAGCTGAAAAAGCAAGTGACCGGATTCCAGGACATGGTGTGATAAATTCTTCCGCAGAGCACATAGCACTCCCACCCACCTTAATTATTCTCTGTTGCTTTTCACAAGAAGAGCTTCCTCTGATGCTCTTGCCACCAGCTCTCTTTCCACCGCAGCTGAGCAATACCATGTGTATAAAGTTTAGGAGCAGCCCTGTGATTCTCTCATAGGATAAAGACACTACGGCAATTTTTCCTTTAAGGGAGAAGGGGATTAGCTGAACGTTTAAATGTCCCACAAAAACCCAGAGGAAACACCATTTGATGAAGTCTAGATTTAAATTTGTAAAAACCTTTAACAGAAGCTTGATTAAACGTTGTTTTTTTTTTTTTTTTCTTCTACCCCTAGGTCCTTCCAAAGATGACATCTCATATTGTAAACGAAATAGATAACATTCTGGGAAACAAGCCCTACAGCAAGAAGGACTACAGATCATAATGCAATGCATGAATTCCCTGGACTGCATGGTTTAAAAAGTGCTCTGTACAGAAGTACAGCCCTGAATTAATATCCGGTCATGAGAATCATTCAGCAGCTTGCTGCTCGGTGTCTACTGTCACTGGATCCTTCGAGATGTGTGCTGTTGCTACTAATCTGCAGTGAAATTTAAAAGCACAGTTGATCTCTCTTCTAACCGAGAATAATCTTGTATTTTCTTACCTTCGACTGAATTCATTAATTTTTACTTTACTCTTAGCACCTCATGCTTGTGCTGTGAAAAACAATTGTAAAGCAAAAAATAATTTATAACCTTCAGGTACTTGGTAATTAAAGAAGGATGTACAGATCTATTTTTTCAATGCAGAAAAGCCAGATACAACTTAAGGTTTTAATAAAACCACATCTGGGAAATCTCAACTATAAAGTTTCTTCAGGTTAACAGATAGAAGGGGCAAGCTCAGATTTTCTGATTTCTTTTTTTATGCTGAATTATATGCTTTAGATTTTGTTTGTAGATGAATAAAGGATGTAAGACAGAGAATTAGTTAGAAATTAGCTCAACTCCTAACTATACAATTATTTCAGCTGTGGAGTGCTCCTAGGAAGTATTTCTCAGTACAAGGCCGAAGAGCACAGTTAGAAAACGCGAACACGCATGTCAGGTTAATGAAAACAATGGCTGTTTGCAAAATTCTAATTCTACGTAAACCTTAAACCAAGAAATCCACGATAAAATATTGGGGTTTTCATCTATAGAAACCTGCCTCTACTTCTGCCTGCTTGTAGACAGAGCTATTGCAAATTTCAATATCATGAGCTTTTAAGGATATAGATACTTATAAATATATATAATATATAGCTGCTGAAAAATATCAGAAAAAATCAGGTACGTACTTTGGTGGAAGGCTACGTTTGCTTTAACTTGTTCTGGAATCGGGCATAAGTAAATGCATAGTATTTTTCAGACATGTTTTAAACAGGTAGTTTTCTGTGAGTATTTCATCCCTCTACAGGAGTTGATTGTAAGCATTTGTCTCTTAATTTGCCCATCTTAAGAACCACATCAAGTTTTACCAGTTTGCTTTGTAAAACGCACCTCTGGTTTCGGTATTTCTGACTCCTCTCAAATGGCCTGTTTTGGGCACAGACTTCCTGGGGGGCACAGCTACGTACAGTGTTTGTAGGACCCTCGTATCCTAGTCCCCCGAGCTCCAGGGTATCTGCAGAGTGTGTGCAGTGTCCCCGTGAACGGATACTAACCCTGGAGTTGTCTTCTCCTGTATTTAACCCAACGAGCTATGGTATGTGTAAATGAACTTAGCTGCTGTATATCCAGAAATGCAGTCTGACTTTGACTTCTGCTTGGACACAATAAAAGCATTTTGTGCATCTAATTTTGTACTTTGAGACCTGTTACTAACAGCAAGAGTGATTTTGGAATGGCAGTGGTTTACGTTGAGAATGGGTATGTGCTGTTCCCCAGGGAAACACTGATCTGCAGGTGTAACCAGGGACAGCGACCGCGGGCCGGAGGAGCGGGGACAGCCGGGGAGCGAAGGGCTGGGCTGCACATCTCGGACAAGGTACTTTTAGAACTTAAAAATGTGTCCTGTCCCCTCAGTCCTACACATTTTGGCCTGAAATAAACACGCTGTGAGTGTTCTCCCAGCAGTTCACCGAGATCAGGGAATTGTGGAGTGGCTCGGGCTGGAAAGGACCTCAAAGCCCACCCAGTGCCACCCACTGCCCCGGGCAGGGCCACCTTCCACTAGCCCAGGTTGCCCAAAGCCCCGTCCAACCTGGCCTTGAGCCCTTCCAGGGAGGGGGCAGCCACAGCTTCCCCAGCTGAACCCCCCAACTCTCCCAGCCTGTCCTCACAGGGGGGCTCCAGCCCCCCCAGCATCTCCGTGGCCTCCTCTGGCCCCGCTCCAGCAGGTCCGTGTCCTTCTGCTGTTGGTGCCCCAGAGCTGGACCCAGCCCTGCAGGGGGGTCTCCCAGAGCGGAGCAGAGGGGGAGAATCCCCTCCCTCACCCTGCTGGCCACTGCAGCTCAGTCACCAGCCTCTCCAAAATGACCCTGGGCTGGCCAGTCCTAGGTAGCTGACATGGAGACAGCCACCAAATCATTTCTCACCTCCCTACTAATTACATCCCTTCACTGGCCTGGGCCACATCCCTTAGTGTTGCAGTATTAGCTGTGAAAATTAACTACTTAAGTATTTTAAAATCTGCTTCACAGGCAGCACAAAGGCTTTGACCATTATACAGCTAACAGCAGTGTAATTATTTTCCCAGTAGCAGACTAGTTCCTTCTCTTACCTCTGGAGGTACAATTTAATGTTCTCTCTTCCCCCACTCAGATACATGGGAATCCAACAACATATTAAAAATATATTAATTCCCAACATTATTTTTTTAAATTGAAAATGAGATGGCATTGTCCCTTAGAGCAAAAGCTTAAAAGTCAGCTTGCCTAATGTTTGGGGGGCAATGGGATGCCAAAAAGTAACTTAGCTTTCAGCATTATACTGAAAAAAGCAGGTATAGCTTGTAGTGGGGATTGCAAGGGGAAAAAAACAACTAACCAACCCCAAAAGCAAACAGAAAAAACAAAACCACCTCTCCCCCCAGTGCTTTTCTGCGCAGGAGTCCACAGAAAAGACTAGGTTTCCTGTAGAAACACAACCAACCCAACCACCTGCTTTTGTTTCAGGCTGTCAGTGCTGCAAAGTTCTCTCTCCAGAAAAATTCTGACACACACTATGCTCCAGGGCTCAGCAACTGTCAATACCAAAAAAAAACCTAAGGTAAGATGAAAAGCTGTTAATAAAAGACTCGGCAAACTGACAGTAATACCAGAGGAAAGTGTTGCTTCAAAAACCCCTTTTCTCTAGACTGCAGCTTTCCTGGAAAATGCACCTGGCACCTTCTGAACTGGTGACTAGGGCAGTCCCGGCCCTGCCAACGCTGACAGGTGAAAGGAGAGTTAGTGCTGCCTCATCATGTGGCTGAACTGCACTACCGGGGTGTTTTGGTAGGAGCTGAGCAAATCCCCAGCAAACCAGCAGCGTGAGTCCTGCCACCGAGCCATCAACTTGGCCTCCTCTTCGATTCTGACCATTTATAGAAGTTCGTTAGAAAATTGGTTTACTTAAGACTAAAATACGTACAAATAATATAATGAGTAATAGGCCAAGGAAAGTAAAATTATGGAAGCAATATGGAAAGGCTCCTTTCAGTAGTGAATAAGCAGGCAGCAGTGATAAAGAAAAATCCCCATATTTTGAGGGAAAATAAGTTAATTTGAAGAGTGTGAAATGACTGCCCAGAATAGTAGTTTCAATGGCAGCTCTGAAGACATTCAAACCACTTCAAAAGTATTTTTCTAGGAGACAGTGGTTAGGTTTTGTCCTGACTCCAAGTTACTTAAAAGTAAGGAGTATTTGCAAGCACAAGACGTGGTGATTTGTAGAAGGTTCCTCTCTGCTGGAAGCAGAGAGTAACCTACACACATCTCACCCATGAAAATCCTCATTTTTAAAAAAATATTAAGAATAGAAATACAAGGAATTAAATGTCAGAAAAAGCCTCCTTTTTATTAAAACTTTTCAAGTTACAGTGATGAATGGTGGATTGTCACTTTTTATGAGCAGTGAGTCTGGCTCAGTCACCAACCTGAGGGGAATTGTTACAGGCGTTCAGCAGAGCTGCTTGTGCTGCTGTGTAGCAGCCCCTCGTGGTGTACTCGTCTAACAAACCCTGGCACTGTCACACCTAAGTGCTTCAGAAAGGTTACGGTTGGTAACTGCTGACACACCATTTCCTTTCATTGCGAAGTAAAAAAAAAAAGATTCAGTTATCGAATGTACCATGTAAAGATACATTTAACATTGACATTTTACCATGTAAAGATACCAAAAGTAAATACAATTCAACCATTTCTGGACTCAAACCCTCCCCCCCCATACTCTCAAGCAGTCGCACTATTAAAAAACCCCAGTATTTCTCTTCCACTGTTAAACTTTTGTATGCTCACAGAAATAAACCTGGCTACTTGGATCCTGTAGATAAGAGAGCAATCAGTCCAGATGAAGCACTGATAGAAAGAATATAGTTTCTGTAGGGAAAAGGTTAAGGACATACGCTGGTAAAGATGCCACGTCTTTTGTACAGAACATTTAGTACGAGTTTGATGAAAAACGGGGGATTGAAACAGTCAGTAGTTTTCAAGTTGCAACATCACAACCCAAAATACAGCTTACAATGGACGCTGCAATGTACTCAAAATTAAAGACACAAGTAAAGTTTAGCCTGCTCTCTTAAAAGTAGTTATAAATACTGTTAAATATCACAGATCTTTAATATTTGCGGCCCTGATTGGCAGTACTTACTTAAAATAACAAAAAATTTTACTTGTGAAGTTACTGAAGCTAACCAGCCCTTTAAGGTTAGAGCACTGGCAACTAATACCGAGGTTGTGCCTTGGAGAGAACAGGAGCTGCCTCCTCATTCCACACTTACAACCAAAATGGCAAAGCCGTAAGAATTTCTGACTATTGTCCAAGTGATATCCTTGAAACACCTCCTCTGAGACGTTAAACATTTATGTGCTTGGGAGATTGCAAAAACACCCCTATCTCTGCTTTTGTTACGGTGTTTCTAAGCTGAGGTACTACACCGAACTGCACGCATCAACAGAGCAACCTCACAACCCACAGGACAAACACAGCTACTAGTAACAACAACCAGGAGTAGGACTCTGGTTGCTTCAAGTGCGGTAATAAAGGATACACAGTGGGGTTGAAGTTCTTCAGCACAAAAAATGAAGCAATGATGACCAAGACCAGAAAGAGAGTATTGTTGTAGAAGATGGAAAAAGTCGTTGCTTCGTAATCTGCAACTTCATTTTTCTTCCACAGAATTCTAGGAACAAGCAGAAACATTATTTCAGGCATATTTAAATCAATGCATATCCAGGCACACCCACCGTTATGAAGAGATTGACACCCAGGGGTGCAGTAAACCACACGCTGCAGCTCGCTACAGCCAGCTTCGAAAAGACAGAGCACAGCAAGAACTACCAGCTGGCTCATTAAAGACAAAACCCTGCATATACTCTGTGCTCGTACACTGAAGCAACTTGATGCTTGTTTCCTGCACCTCAAACCCAGCCCTTTACAAATAACCCTCTTCCGTGAGTTTGTATCTGCTCGATGTTACTGGGGTGCCTGGCACTCGAAGGGAAGACGTGGCTTTTTGCTCTAAAGAGCCAACAGTTGACGTCCTCGTGTCTTGTACTTAACGGGCATCTGTCCTTCCAGTAAGCGCTCCCTGACAGATTCATCCTGTCAGTGGTCCATACTAACCGCGAGGGGTAACAAGTATAAGCAGCAGTCAGCAGTGCGGTCCAGCACTGCAGAAAAGGAGCTTTCTCTTACTTTTGAAGATGCTTACTCTTCAGAGTTGTTAAGAGGCTGTACAATAAGTTGCTTTGCAGCTCGAGGACTGAGAGGTTGCCTTATAGGACCTTATTGTAAAGGTTTAAGTTGTTTCATTGATAACTTGCCCCAAAACGCTTTACAGATGACAATGAGCTGACAGCACTGCTTCTACTTACCAGAATAAGGAAATAAACAGTGGCCAAGCAACAGGCCCCAGTATCCTACCCAGAGCCTTAACAATACGGGGCAGTATTACAACAGGGGAGAACAAAGAGGATTACCTTTCATCCTTCTCCTTGCGAGACATCTTCCTGTTGTCTGCCTCAGACAGCTTGCGAGTAACTTCTTTGGAAACAGCATCTTCTCTTTTCTGTGCTACTCTGTAAGAAACATCATTTAAGTTGAAAACTGAAAATAAAAAACCCCTGGGATTACAGGAAGTTCAATTTACAGTGCAGAATAATACTTTACTGAGACACTGAATGGCTTTACCAAGTTGAAGGGACAAGAAGTAATCATCAGATTACTAAAAGTATCAAATATAATCTGTGGCAATACCCACTGAGAATGAAGGTAGGTTTGCTATTTTGCTGTACGCTTAGATGACAAAGCTAATCTATTCCATAATTACAAAAGAGGACAGAACCCAATTAGCAAACACTTCTGCCTGAAATAATAGTTTTTAGAGTAACATTTCGGCCATTCTTATTCATTAAAAAAACTTGTAAATGCTGGTTTTGTTAACTTAACAATAAATTCTACTTCAAACAGCCACCAAACTTACTTGTGTTTGAGAACAAACTTGACATTCTTGTATGCAAAAGCTACTAAATAGGTACTGATGAGGGTCATTACGCTATACAGGACTGCAGACTGAACAAGATCCATATGCCATATCCTCCAATAAAGCCCTTAAAGAAAAAAAAAAGACACGTAAAGGGTTTCTCTCTCTAAGAAAAATGCCCCCATGTGTCTTATTCAGCTTATTAGCTCAGTAATTCGGCACTAGCTCTGCCAGATCAAAGCCAGTTCCTACAAAATCACCTGGGTGGGACTTCAAACTGCATTAAAAAATACTTTGAACAGAGAAATCTGCTTTGCTTTTGGCTGAACGGAGCCTTATGAGGCCACGTCAAGCTCGGCCCAGCGCAGCCAGCCTTAGCAGTGCTGATGTGGACACGTCAGTGTTAGACCAGCAGCTCCATCTTTACAACCCACAAAGCAACCGCCCTGCCCGCTGCTCCCAGCAAGACCGGCTTGGAAACCGGATCTAACACAGCACGGAGATCGCCCAAATAACCCCACCGGGGGTCGGCTTGAAGCCGGCCAGGCCCGGGGCAAGGCGAGCCCGGGGATCCGCACCCGGCAGCGGGCCAGGAGCCTGAGGAGGGCTGCGGGGAGTCCCTGG